GTATAATACAGAGAAGAGATGGGGTAGCAGCTTCAAAAAGGTGCTTCCTGCTTTAGATGGGATCCACAAGCTAATTTTTTAACTTTTAGTATTTAAAAAAAAATAAAAACAAACAAGCTTTTTACCTCTGTGATGGGTTCCCCCATGGGTGCCATGTGGAACTGGGATACCATTGAGCCCCCTGATCCACCAGCCTGAGCTTCCTCTCACACTGTACTGCTGTGACAAGCTGCAAAGCCCTCTGGCCTGCACTCTCACCAGTACACATACAGGTAGGGACATAGCCTGCATGTAATTGCAAATGGGTTTCTGACCACCCCCTGCATAGGAAGGCTAACTTAAGGCAACTCCCAGCTCCCCAGGCATGTACCCCTCTGAAGTATACACCCAAAATTATACCGTCTTGTGCTACACAGGGAACTGTATAGCATAAGCTCATAAAATTTGCCCCCTCCTTCAGTGTGGAGAGGAATATGCAATAGCCTTTTCCCCGAGTTATGATTTCCACACACTTCACTCCAACTCACTGGTTTAGATAAAGAAAAAAGAAGTTTATAAAGTACAAAAGATAGATATTAAATGGTTATAAGTCATAGAAAAACGATCAAAGCAGATTACCTAGCAAATAAACAAAAAATGCAAACTAAGCTTAATATACTAAATAGATTGGCTATGAGTAGCAGATTCTCACCCTAAGAGATGATACAAGCAGGCTGCAGATTCTTAAGGGGCAAGCTGCACTTGCTTTACAGCTTGGAATCCGCAGGTGTTTCATTCACAAGCTAGAAATCCTGTTAGCCTGGGTCCAGCACTTCCCCCAGTTCAGTCTTTGTTCCTCAGGTGTTTTCAGGAGTTTTCTTGTGTGGGGAACGAAGAACCCCAGATGAAATCACTCAGTGCCTTATATAGCTTTTGCATATGGCTCAAAAGCTTGTTCCCAAAGCTTGGTTCCCAGACCGGTCTGTGGAAAAATACTGACATCCCAAGATGGAGTCTAGAGACAAGTGGTCTCATCACATGTCATTGTAGAGTCATAGCAGCCATTACTTAGAGGCTGTCTGTAGTGTTTTCAGGAAGGCTCCCCAGGTCGGAGATAAGCTTCTCCTAAGGCCTATTGTTTATTTCCTAATGGCCCACTGCCATGAATAGGCCCTTCCCCATCCACTATCTAGACTGAAAGCATCTTGTCTAGTGGGCGTTACCCAGGTGTAACTACATTTGAAATACAGTTACGTAGTCAATATTCATAACTTCAGATACAAAAATGATACATGCATAAAATAGGATAATCATATTCAGCAAATCATAACTTTTCCAATGATACCTCACATGACTTATCTTGCAAAAATAGTGTTGACAACTATCTAATGAGACAAACCAAAACACCCTTGTCCCGCCCCTTCTCTGAGGCCCTGCCCTGCTCACTCCATCCCCCCTTCCTCCATCACTTGTTCTTCCCCACCTACTCATTTTCACCGGATTGGGGCAGGGGGTTGGGGTCTGGGAGGGGGTGCAGGCTCTGGGCTGGGGCCGAGAGGTTCAGAGTGTGGGAGAGGGCTGCAAACTGAGCCTGAGGCAGGGGGTTGGGGTGCAGGAGGAGGTGCGGGGTGCAAGCTCTGGGAGGGAGTTTGGGTGCTGGTGGGGGTGAGGGGGTGCAGGCTCTGGGAGGGAAGTTGGGTGCAGGAGAGGGCTCCGGGCTGGGGTGGGGGTTGGGATGCAGGAGGGGGTGAGGGGCATGGGCTCTGTCCGGGTGATGCTTACCTAGGATGGCTCCTGGTCGGCGGTACAGTGGGGCTAAGGCAGGATCCCTGCCTGCCCTGGCCCCGTGCTTCTCCCGGAAGCGGCTCGCATGTTCCTGGGGAGAGGTAAGGGGCTCCATATGCTGCCCATGCCTGCAGGCACCGCCCCCGCAGCTCCCATTGGCCGCAGTTCCTTGCCAATGGGAGCTGCGGACTTGGTGATCGGGGTGCAGACAGCGCACGGAGACCCCTGTCCCATCCCCCCAGGGGCCGCAGGGACAAGTCGACCGCTTCCAGGAGCGGCGTGGGGTCAGGGCAGGCAGGGAGCCTGCCTTTGCCCCGCTGCGCCACCGGACTTTTAGAGGCCTAAAATCTTCTGGTTTGGCTTCAGTAGCCTCCAGGAGATAGAGCTCGATTCCAGGAGACTTGTGGCAAACCCGGAGGGTTGACAACCCTATGCATAAAATACATCATAATTAGGTAATAATTGTATAATAATAAATCACTATGAATAATATGGGGTGCAGTGTCACAACCTTGTTAATTTGCATACTTTATAAACCATTCTAAAAAAGTTAGAGCATTCATTCCCCAGTTCCCAGCAAGGATAGTGCTGAACTGAGGTGTCTCATAAATACTGTAAGCCTTCATTATTTTTGCAAACTATACTACATAATATTTATTAACATATTGTGTAGTATTATAAATATAATAATTAAAACTAAGCTGCAGTTGTCAAAATAAAAACTTAAATGTTGTGTGACACATGGTTCTTTTAATTTTTGTTTGTACTTGCTAATTTGTAGTAATTAATCATTCTAGATTAAGTCTATGGGTGTTGTATACATATGTACCAGAGGACAGAATCTGGCTCTGTGTATTATGCTTTACCTTGCGTTCACTGATAGTATTTTTTTTTAAACATATCCAGGCTCTGTTAATTAACCATGATCATTATCATCATTATAAACCCAAAACAAAAACATACTGTAGATGTCACATTTCCTGTTACAGAATTCAATAGGGCCTTTCACTAGAATGGACCTTTAAAATACTACAGAATTCTGCTGACCAAGAATATAAATAAATCCTATAGTCATACCTTTTATCAGTATGCCTAGCTATCTAATCTATCTAATTACTAATCAAATATTTTCATGTGTATGTATTGTATAACATTCAACACATGGGAGGTAACACTGATTTAATGGTTAAAGGACTGGGAATCAAACCTTGGTTATTTTCCTGGATGTGTCACAGACTTGCTATTTGATATTGTGATATTGGACACGTCTTTTTCCCCTCTCATCAGCTCTGCATGAGGGGGAAAAACTGGGGGACAATTCAGAGATATTTCAAGGCCTAGTGTAGATTTTGAGCAAGAAACATGCAAATATTATAACTACATTCCTACATCTGGATCTTCCTACTTGCAATAAATTATTTGTAGCAGAAGTTTAGTGTGTCAAAAAAAAAAGCAGCAGCTAGCTAGCTAGCTCCATTTACTAATGGTAACACTGCAAAGTAAATTTTGAAGACAGAGCACGATGGGATCTTCTCTGGCAGAATAGGGCCAGGTCAGTTCATCTAAGTCCTCTGACCCAGTAGCCTGCAAATAATCTCATCCTAATAGCAGAGGCACTTTTGTTAGCTATATAGCATATCAGAGGGAGAACAAAAGAAAATTATTGAATGTATTTTCTGCAGCTTCTATGCATTAGACAACAGTAAACCTTAGGACCTGTATTATTTAAATATTGGGAGTCAGTTTGTAATTCCACAACACATGCATCTCTAAAAACAAAATTAGAAGTCTTAAACCAGAACCAGTAAAGCCCTCAAATGGAAAATATTCTGTTAATAAAATAGCTAATCTGTTACATCTTTACCTAAAAAAAGACATTTTCAGAGTTCATTTTGAGAGTACATAGTGCCAGTCAATGAATGAAACCTTAACATGTAGTGTGACTGTATGTCATTTGGAGTCCTCAGAGCTTTCAAGAGTTACTTTCATCTTATATTTTTTTTGGTGAGGGTGAATGTTATTGCGTCCCTAGTTTTCTAAAACTATCATTTTCTCTTCCATACTGATGGAGAGTATTCTATCAATCTCAGCATTTTGTGTCTCTGCAACAAAGTTATTTAAAAGATGTACCTTTTCTTACATTAGCTTTATTTTTAGCTGATTAACTTTTAGCTGTATGCCATATAGTTTTAGCCATGTCAGTTCCAAGATATTGGAGAGACAAGGTGAGTGAGGTACCATCTTTTATTGAACCAACACTATTCTCTCACCAATAGAAGTTGGTCCAATAAAAGATATTACCTTACCCACCTTGTCTAACCTTTAGCTGATCAGTTAACAGGAAATTGATAGTTACAGAACAGTATTTTAATAATCTGGTGCTTGCAAAACACATTTTTAAGCCAGTCTTATATTCTGTATTCATTACAATTATAGAGAACAGTAAAAAATAAACTGTATAGTCAGGACATCAAATTTCATTGCAGATTCAATTCACATAGCTCACTAGAGGGCGCTCTCTGCTAGTGGATTCAATTGAAGATACCATAGAATTATTCTATTTTAGTTTCAGTTCCAGTTACTGTACCTGTAATCCAAGAGGGAAGCCAGTTGTAGCAAATGATTCGTGTATTCATATTAGTGCTGACCTTGGATTCAACAGAATATTAGGAAAACTTTCTTAATAGTGAGGTTTAATAAACTGATATTCGGTGATGATGATACCTACCTCTTCTATAGAGCTTTTCAGCAGCGGATCTCAAAGCACTTAACAAATGAGATTAGTACAGGTGAGGAAATTGAGGCACAGAGGTTAGGTGACTTGCACAAGTTTAATGGGGCTAGTGACATAGCTGGGAATAGAACTCAGGGCTCCTGCATCCCAGTCCAGTGCCCCGTCATCTGTACCATGCTGAAAAAGGTGGAAGTCCCATCACTAGAGTTATTTAACACTTGACTGGTCAAAGCAATCAGTACATATACTATAGAGACAAATTCTGCAGTGATCAGAGTAGGGTAGACTGGCAGGATAACAGGTCTTATTCCATTTTGAATCTTTGTGATTTTGAGTAAGAATGCTCCCCAAAGTGGTTATTTTCCATCAACTTTCAAATCCGATTTTATAAACTGTCTTCCTTTTCTTTTCCTACACCACTCCACTCTTAAAAAAAAAAAATGCTTTTGCTATGTGTAAAAAATTTCTAATGGTAATCTTTTTTTTTTTTTTTTTTGGGAAGGTGTCAGAGCGGGTAGAGAGAAGACTTCAAGAGATAGAACAAGAAATGCGCACAGAAAGGCAGGTGGTAGAAAGACGCCAGGACCAACTAGGACATATGTCTGTGCAGTTGCAGGAGGTATGCAAGATAGTTCAGTTAAATTCTTGCTGTACTTGTGAGCCTCGCTCAGACAAGGGAGCAAGGGGTCAAGTGTCACTCTTCCATGGTTAAAAGTATGTACATTAACAAGCTCTGCTGGATATACCCCTGGACAGCAATAATCTATAGAGACTGTCATTCCCTGATGCAGTGTTGCTAGTGTTAAATATTTCTTGTTAGTGGCACACAGATCCTAAGAAAAAGACCGGTTCCTGGGTTTGATCCATTTAAAAATGTTTGTACTGTTTTTTTTATTCTAAAATTGATCTATTTAGGAATAGTGAGCAATCACTTTTTGAGTACTGTTCTATGGGCCAATTAAATATAACGTGGGCCAATTAAATATAATGTACTAGTTAGGCACCTTTCTGGTGCTGTGAAATCATTTGCTCTCAAAGTGAATTAAATGTGGTGAGCCACAAGAATAGTGTTGAGGAGAAGACCTCAATTATTGTTCATTTTAGAAAAGAAAATTAGGAGAATTTTTCCCTGACCTTTTTTCCCTCTTTCTTTAAAAAATGTGTAAAATACACAAAAGAGAGGCAAGGAGCTTGCTTCCAAAACTAACACATGAGAAACCAGGAAGACTGAATATTTTGCATTCTAATTTTTTATTTGACTAAGAGTTTGAGCTATGATTTGGAATCCCATCTTTGACTGTACAATGGGGATCACTGCTGATATGAAATGTTTAATTTAATATTTTGTCACTTTAAGTGGTGACTTGTGTGCTTTTTAAAAAGCAACTGTGGATTATACAGTGCAGTGGAAACTGAAGTGGATTAATTTATATTGACACTTCCTATTTTGTAGAGGGCTATAAATTCTCCTTAATGGTCATATTTAAGAAGATAACTTTTTTCCCTATTAAAAGAGTATGTTATGCTTATCAAAACGTTTTTAGTACTTTGCCGATTGGATGTCAGTAACAGCTTTACATTTCTACCTCCCCTTCCTCCCTTGTAGATAGTGAGAGATGGGTGAGAGTGCTTCATTAGGGCTCTCAGAAGAGGAAAGTATTTCTTAGGCTTTTCTGAGAGAAAAATTCTTTCAAATATTCTTCAATTTTCAGACTGTGTTACTGTCCATTTCGTGGACAGATGTTTAATGAGAGCTGTTTGATATGTGATTTGGTACTATTACCTGCTGACATAAATACATTTCCTTTTTTGCCCTTTGTAAGGAGTAATGATTTACCTTAAGGACATTTTGACAGTTGGGAATTCATTTTCAAATTGAAGACTGATGTTTTGCTAATGATGAATGTGTTCTGTGTGTATGTTTCCCGAGCAAGATGTCTGCTTCCATAATCTTTGTTACAGCACTTTGGAACAATCTGTTGCACTTTTAATGGCTGATGTTAAATTTTATGCTATTGCATCTTCTGGTGAAGGTAGAACAACATAATCTCTAAACACTTTGCTGAGTTTATTAAACAGCAGTTTGGACAAAATTCATTTGAGGATAATTTTGAAAAAGAACATTTTAGTACTTGAATCCTACTTCATGCTTTGAAATAGTGATTAGATGGATCATTGGCAGTGGCTCATTGTCAAAGGCCCCGATCCTGAAATGAACTTTGCATGTTTGTATCCCCTACAGAAGTGTGTAGGATTCTGGACAGGCCAAGGGTCCCCCTGTATGGAGCTCACTGAAGATTGTCCATAAGGGGGTGTGGGTGGGGTGGGGGGGAGAGCCCAGGGTTGGGGCAGCAGGGGGTGCGGGTGGGGTGGGGGGAGAGCCCAGGGTTGGGGCGGCAGGGGGTGCGGGTGGGATGGAAGGGGAGAGCCCAGGGTTGGGGCGGCAGGGGGTGCGGGTGGGATGGAGGGGGAGAGCCCAGGGTTGGGGCGGCAGAGGGTGCGGGTGGGATGGGGCGGGAGAGCCCAGGGTTGGGGCGGCAGAGGGTGCGGGTGGGGTGGGGTGGGGGGAGAGCCCAGCGCTGGGGCGGCAGGGCGGCAAGAAACCTAGAACCGGCCCTGATTAGTGGTAGGTTTTGTGATGGACATCTGTCCACTGGGAATTGTACTGAGATCCCCCAACTTATTTCCTACAAACTAGACCGCAGAATAGCCAGTAGATGGTGCTGACTTTTTGCTACTGCTGACCAGGGCTGGACTTGAAGAGAGAGGCTCTTTATCTTGTTACCAGTACTGGAAGAGACATCCCCCTAATTGCAGATAAAACATTAACCATCTGTCACAGGGTAGCTGGTCCCTGTAGATAGATGAAGCCCAGTGACCCTGGATCAAAGCAGATGAGCCCAATCCAGCTAATTAAAGATGGAGCCTATAAAGGGCTGCTAGCAGACAGCTGGAGGAGGAAGGACTGAGGCAGATCGAGTTCCAGAAAGGGAAAGCCACACAGGAGTGGAGCTAGTTCCTCTGGTGTGTCCTTGGAGCAAGGGGCCAGGGGTTCAGGGAAGCATGGCTGTTACTCCATGCAAGGAGTGGAGCTGATTGAGGCTGGGAACCTGCCAGGATCTGGAGTGCTAGAGACCCCTGGGAGGGTGGCCCTGAGGCCAAGGATTGAGTTAAGATTGTTTTCTGTTTGTTAACCATTGTTAAGAAGATAAACCTCCTTGACTGAGACTGCGTGTGTGTGACAACTCATGCTTTGGAGCTGAGGTGAAGCTCCTGCCTGGTGATACCAGCCTTTATAGGGAGAAATTTCTTTTTGATGTTGTGTATAGTGGTTTCAAAAGGTCAGGTACATAATAGTGGGAATGTTTTAGTTTTTTAAGATGTGGCAGGGATCAGCACCTTTTCCCCTAGTCACTGCTGGTTCAGGGCTAGCTCATGAGAAGACTTATTAGTTCCCAAAGTATTTGTATTGAGTTGCCAATAAACATTTTACAGTAGTGTCTCCAAAATGTCAATTTTAGCAGAACCCGCTATTATTATATATTAATACTTCATAATATGCTTATAAAGTATTGGTTTCCAGTCCCGCAGGAGATTAACAGAACTATATCACTATTTTGCTATATCCTTAGTTTGCTGTGTGTTTGACATTTGTCCAGAACAGAATATAGCAAGTCCCAGACCTTATAGCTGTGTAACTTGCAATCTCTGATTTGTGCATTTGGATATGAGAATTCGTTACACTCTTTCAGGCACAATAGACTTAATTTCACTAAAAGACTTTTAAATGTTCGTATTTAACTGATTAACCTGCTCGAAAGGTTGAGTTATAAAATATCAATATGACTCTTTGGGTGAAATCCTGGCTCTGTTGAAATCCATGGCAAAACTTCCATTGACTTCAGTAGGACCAGAATTTTACCCTTCATCTTTTGTAAAACAGCATGAAAAACATACAGGAAGTTTTTAAAAAGTTTCTCACAGATGAATAAAAGAAAAGTCCTTTTTGTTTTTCAAGACACTTTTCAAAATATTGCTACTAAAAATAGAGCCCTGAAATGGGAAATATTAATTGTCCCAAAATATCTCAATTCAATATTGGGGCTGAATGGTTTATAAAGGAATGTTTCTAAACTAGTTGTGACTGTATAATTTAGGTAATGATATTAGTTACATTCATTAAATCAAACCAGCTCAAATATGCCTTTCAGCTTTTGTAACTGAGAGATCATTTAAAGATTTAAATGTTGATGCTGGTAAATATTGAAGAGAATGCAATGAAGGCAACTGGCCACTACTTGTCAGTGTTTCACTATCCTACAAAAGCCATCATTCTAAATTTAACAAATGCAATTGCATACTTGCAGAGCCTAGCTGAACATGACTAATATCTTTTTTCAGTGATTGTTTTCCATTTTTGAATGTTCAGATTTATTATTTTTATTCTACCATGTTGCTATCCTTAAATGATTTGATTTTTTTTTTAAAAAGTGACATGACAGTGTGTTATATAGAATGTATTAGGAATATTTTTCATCTTCAAATTTAACAGCTAAGCCATATTTTTGAGTCTCTTTCTATATGATGTGGCTGGTATGATTACATTATTTTATTAGTAGTATTTGTTTCCTTTGTTTCTGAGCTCGTGATTACTAATAATGTTTAGACATTATGTGCATGTGAAGCAGGGTGGATAAAAATTGATGGATTTTTTTATTTAAATACAGGTTTATTTTTTAAAATAAATCTATTTAAAATTGAATTTGAAATTAACAGCCTTTAAGACCTAAATTTATAATCTATTAAAATCATTTAGATTAAATACAAAATATTTTGTACAAGGTTTTAAAAATGTCATACTACTTTGATGCAAATCACTGCCTAAGCATCTAGAACCAGAGTCTGTTGAAGTGCTAGATCAGCTTTTGACAGAAGTAGCCTCTTCTGCAAATGCAGCAACAATATTTTTTTCATTTCTGTTTATTCAGCTAGTTTAGGACTCGTTCATTCAAAGTTAAAAAAATTGGGGGTTGAAAAAGAAGAGAGGCTTGTTTTCCTCTACCAATCTATGATTAAAAACTTGGTGTGGGATGTGGGAGGATGAGATCTACTAGTTTTAAAATCTTGAAAGACACAGTGACAAGAAATAATCAGTTCAGTTACCTAACTACAGATAATACTTCATTTGTTTAATAAATCAAGTAGTTTTAAATGCAAAACATATTTTGATAAACTTTTTAATCCCTTTTTTCCTTAGGTTTCCAGTGCATTTAAGGTAGTTTTATTTAATTTAAAAAATGCTGGTTTGGGGCATTTTAATTAAATTTGAATTTCCATCCAAATAGAGCTGGATGCAAATCACAAGTAAAAAATTTACTATCAGTATATGACATGCTTCATACACCATTTTCTAAAATAATAAGTATCAAATGAATCAGAATAAATGTAAATGAAGCAACAGTTGCTTAAATAAATTCTTATAGATATCACGTATACTCTTGGTTAGCAAAAAGAAGCACCAAATTTAGTTTATAGGGATATCTAGTTGTAAATCAACTCATTTTAATGGTTACCAACAAATGAGAATCTACCATCCCTTAGGAAAAGAACTAAAAAGTA